TATTATTAAATATATTAAGTATAATATATAAAAAATAAATTACAATATAAATTTTTTAAATTTTATAATAATTTTTATAAAAATTTAAAAATTTAAATACAGTAAACTAGGTCTATAACGATAACCTTCGTAGGCAATTTTCCATCGTTATAACCTAACTACAAGAATTATATCGCTAAGATGCAACTACTCTTTTAGGAAAGAGCTCTACTTTTATTAGTAGATAAGGCTGATAAAGCTTAATAAGGCTTAATAAGAGATTTTAAGGGGGGTAAAGTAGTATATAATTATAAACTTATATATATTAATAAGCAATATTTACAAGAAAAATCGCTATAAGTAAGAAGTTACTTTTATATATATAATATATTAAAAAGGTACTTTACGCCTAAGTGTGTATACTAAATCGCTATAGCAGAGAATTGTTATAAACCTGCTTTACTGTAATTATATTTAAAATTATATTATTATTATTCTACTATAAAATATATTTTTATTTATTTATTAAATATAATATATTTTATTTAATTATTTAATTTTAATATTTATTAATTTTATAGCTTTTTTAGCCTACCTTAGTGCCTAGCCTATCTTAGTGTTTAGCACTACCTTTAGTAATAAGAGCTTTTGCTAGCTAAACTACATAAAGTAGGGCGGGCACAATTAGTATCCCTCCCACTTTGCCTATCTCTAGGTTATGATTTCGTTGCTGGGCTAAAGCCCGACCTTGAAGAGCATCTGGCGCAGCCTACCTCTTCGCTCATCGACCTATATAGTGCCAGATGAACAATCTCAGGGCAGCTTGTTCGTGACGTACCCTTTTGGCCTCACGATCGGGGGATCCCGGCATTCGACCGGGATGACTGCGGATCCGCCATGGCTCTATGGAGCTAAGTCTATTAAATATATATTGACGCGGATGATATGCAGCTAGTTGCGCTTAGAATTACTTGTACTATACACGCAGCCGCTTGGAGTGATGATCTTCAAGACCATGCTGTGATCTTTTGGCCGAACTTGGCCGTCTGTCCAGCGGTCGACGATTCAAGGTGCACAGATGAAAATCAATAATTAGAGCTCGCTGGAGCTCAGCATTCCACAAGATGTTTTCAGGGCGAAGATCCAGGTGGACAACCCCGAGACGACGGATCTCCTTCACTGACCGGGAAATCGCACGCTGGGTAGTTCCATCCAATATAGTATGACCCACGCTCTCGCCACCCCAGCCCATCAGAAGCATATGACGGATCCTTCCCGCGCCGTGGAGGAAGTAGGTTAGGGCCAAGTTGATCGACCCGAGAAAGACGGGAACGGCCGATCCTTGGGCACGCTGGAGGACCCCGTAGACCTCGGCTTCGCGCGAGACCTCTCCCCAGTGTTTCGACGTTGTCCCCTTCCCGACAACAGTATATCCGTAGGTGGCACATGTAATCTTGAATGGTGCGCCGGAGGCACCACAAGGGCCGATAGGAGTGCAGTTATGATCCAGATCCAGATCAAGCTGCTTCTTGAGCCTTCTCACTAATTCAGCTGCACCGATCAGATGGCGGTCCACCCTTCTACCAAGCGTATGCAGCTTCGTGTTGGGACACGTAGCGTCGAGCGTGCCGCCTTGCCGTAGCCCGAGAAGACACTTTTGGGTGCAATATAGCGCATCGTGGGGGGGAGGTTGCCCTCTTCGGTTCCCTTGGGGATCTGCTCGCGGTGCGGATCCTCTGGTTGAAGGGGACGTTGTGACCTGGCTGAACCCCCGCTTCCTTCCTGCAGATGCGGTAGGATCGGCCTCGGAATCCGAAGAATTCTCCTCGTGGTAATGCGGACCGGCTGGTGGCGCGCAGCTGGCGGTCGTCTCAGTGATCATTCGACGGCCGCTCCTGACGGGAGACGGGGTTGGGATGTACTCAGAGCCTGACTGCTCAGGTGTAGCGGGTTTGCCGTTAGCATCGTCCACGTCCGGGTCCCGTGGTGTTTCCACTTCTTCATTCTGAGGGCGATCGCTATCAAGGATCGCATACCATTTCGGTAGCCTCATGAGGGCCGCATTACGCCACGCCTGGTCACGAAGAAGACGAGTACGAGAACTCATCAAACAAAGGCACAGGGTCCTCTCAACTCGAGTCCTGGGAGTTCCAGGCGCTGCAACACCCGCCATCTCGTATATTCCGGGATCGCCCAGGTGGTAATAAAGGGTCGTCGGGTCATCGTAGGGCACCCAGAGCTGCACGTCCATCAGGCCGTTGGTCACATATGAATACTCCAGACCCTCTTGAATCATCACGTGAAATTCTTGTACGATGACTGATCCGACCAGCCACTCGGCCTTAAATCGTGATTTATCTGGCTCCTCAATCGGAAAAGAATCAGCTTGGGCCACTTCTCGCCAAAAATCCATCGGTCGGAGCCCTAACTGCAGGCTCGCGGCGGAGAGCTTGTGGGGAGGTTTGTACTCGACTGTAGTGAGCAAGGTACGCCGGTCATCGTCCATTTGATAGATGCAAAATGAATCCGGCCTTGAAGGTTTTGTAGTTGATGGTTGTGTGGCAGTAACTTCATCATCTTCCAGAGAGTTGGCGTGATTTTCAAACCATATTCCACTACCTAACAGGAACTCCTCACAAGCCTCTGGTATTCTGCACAACTCAGCGATAATATCTTGCACAGCGTCTTCAACTGCGACTCGTTCGTAGATCTCGAGGTCCTTTTCGCTGCTAATCGGTCGGCGTGTAATTCGTTGACGCCCTTCTAACCTAACCAGTGAAGTAAATAACTCTCGTGCATCCCCTTCGGTCGGTTGCAGGTAGCGGCAGACAAATTGGTAAATTCTCCGCTGTCTATCGTCACAATCAGTCCACGGAAGCAGTCGTAGGGGACAGTACTTTCCGATAGGAGCGCGGATTATGCCTGTTGTACAGCGAGACGGTATTTGTGCTCGGAGAGGCCTCCAAAAGAGATCGTGACAATGTTGGATAAGCTCTGTGAAAGTCGTCGGTCGATTGAGATGGAACAGTTGTCTCGCCGTTTCCTCTGCCTGCTTCTTTTCCTCCTCTGCCTGCTTCTTTTCCTCCTCTGCCTGCTTCTTTTCCTCCTCTGCCTGCTTCCTTTCCGCCTCTGCCTTGAAGAAAAGCGCCTTATAGTCTGGAGAGCGGTTCCCACTCATCTTTTTTGTGAATAAGAGAAGATACAGATAACAAAATTGTTACGCGTGTTAAGGACTCGCCTTACTCGCGACTGCATGTAAGCGTTACTAGTATTAACTATAAACTTAGAGAGAAAAGAGGGAGAAAGGAGAAGTCCCCTGCCCCCTCTTTTCACGCTATTTAACGTTACATAGAGGTCCTAATACGCATTCAATAAGTATCCGACAAGTATCCGACAAGTATCCGACAAGTATCCGACAAGTATCCGACAAGTATCCGACAAGTATCCGACAAGTATCCGACAAGTATCCGACAAGTATCCGACAAGTATCCGACAAGTATCCGACAAGTATCCGACAAGTATCCGACAAGTATCCGACAAGTATCCGACAAGTATCCGACAAGTATCCGACAAGTATCCGACAAGTATCCGACAAGTATCCGACAAGTATCCGACAAGTATCCGACAAGTATCCGACAAGTATCCGACAAGTATCCGACAAGTATCCGACAAGTATCCGACAAGTATCCGACAAGTATCCGACAAGTATCCGACAAGTATCCGACAAGTATCCGACAAGTATCCGACAAGTATCCGACAAGTATCCGACAAGTATCCGACAAGTATCCGACAAGTATCCGACAAGTATCCGACAAGTATCCGACAAGTATCCGACAAGTATCCGACAAGTATCCGACAAGTATCCGACAAGTATCCGACAAGTATCCGACAAGTATCCGACAAGTATCCGACAAGTATCCGACAAGTATCCGACAAGTATCCGACAAGTATCCGACAAGTATTTAACACGTACAGAGGCGCGCGTTAAAAATCCTGCTTGTTGCATAATTCTACAACGTTACATAGAGCCTAGTGGGGCGCTAGCTGTAAGGTAATTATTACACTAAATTATAGTACAAACTAAACTAAGTTTATAGCTGACTTTTTTTCTAAACTTTTCTTTAAAAATCCCTTAATTTTTAGAGCTCTTTAAAGCTCTTTTTATAGTATAAATTTACAGCTCTTTTTGCAGTATAAATTTATAGCTTAAAATTAACTACTTACTTAACTACTTAAATCTACTAGCTAAATTTAACTTTATTTAAAATAACTACTTTAAAATAACTACTTTATAATAGCTTATTAAATCTGCCTTATAATAAAAGTAGCAATCTTAGCTCTTTATACTAAAAGCAGCTATATAATATTATATATTATATAGCTATTTTAAGTCTTTAAGAAGTCTATTTAATAAATTATTTAAGAAGTAATTAAAAGAGGCTTTAACTCTAGCTTTTAGCTCTTAAAGATAAAAAATAAATATTTATAACTAAAGCTTTAAAGCAGCTGCTTAAGTAAAGTTAATAGCTTAGAAGTTTAAGAGTAAATTATTAAGAAGGTTAGTACTAATTAATATAGAAGAGAGAAGTTAACTACTAATATTACTAAAGAGCTTAGTAGTAAAAGTATATTAATCTCTATTTTAATAATATTATAAACCTTAAAATCTTTAAAGTACTAAAAAACTAAGCTAATAAAAAAGCTTAAATTAATAAAGTCTATAAAAGTAACTTATCTTTAAAAGTATATTAACTATTATTACTAAACTCTAAATAACTAGAAAAAAGTTATTTAAACTAATAAAACTACTATTATCTATCGGCTAATTAAGAGACTCTTTATAATATAATAAATATAATAAATAGAGCTTATATAATCTAGTTAATTACTAAGTATATAATAATAAGAATTCTTATAGTATAGTAAAAGTAACTTTAGATATAGTATAAAATTATATATAATTATATATATTAAAGAGTGTAGTTATAAAGGCTTAATTTTCCTCTCTATTCCTCTCTATCTAGTTAGGGGGAAGGAGAGTTATTTATAGGTAAATTCTATAGTAGGGCTGCCGGATTAAGCAAATATAGTAGCTTTAGTAGCTTAAAATAACTCTTATAGCTGTTTTCTTCTATAGAGTAGATTAGCCTTTATAGCTTATTAGTCTTTGTTAGCAGTAAATACTGCCTACTACAAAAAACACCTATAAAAGTATATAAAAATAAGGGAAACAACTACAGTATATAAATTGCCTATAAGAAATATTTATATATATTTTATATATAAGGATTTAATATACTTTACGCCTATATTTCTTTATATATATAATTAAGGTTAAGAGAGAAATATAGGCTAGAATTTAATAAAAAGACTAAAAAGCTATAAAGACTAATTTACTTTATATGTTAGCGGCAGATACTGCCTACTATAAAAAACACCTATAAAAACAAGGGAAACAACTGCAGCACACAAATTGC